TTTTTAATGTAAATTTAATATAAAAAAATATTAGAATTTTACCTTCTGACTTCGATAAAGACACGTACTGAAAAAATCTATAAGAAATTTTTTTTAAAAAAAACTTTTATTTACCAAGACGTAAATATAAATATATTACTTTTCGGCAGTTCAAGTTCCAGATTTCAGAATTGAGAGAAAAATGAGAAAATGCTTTTTGATCTTCTGCAGGTTCATGATAATGTGTGTTGATCAGTGATCATCAGGAGCTCAAAATGAAGGAGAATTTGTCTCGAGTTTCGCGTAAAAATGGGACCCAAGAATCAGTTTCCAGCGCCGGCCGTGCGGGAGAAATCATCACAAGGAAAAAGAACAGGTACGCCGTGGGGGCTGATTGCGACGGAGGAGGAGGAGATTCGATCGAGTGTTCGGGCAAATACTGCCGCTCATGCAGCGCTGGGTTGATAGCCGACTGTGTGGCACTCTGTTGCTGCCCCTGTGCGTTAATCAACCTCCTCACCCTGGCATTTGTCAAAGTTCCATGGAAAATGGGGAGGAGGTGTTTGGGGCTGGGGAAAAAGAAGAGGAAAAAGCTGGAAACGAAGGGAAAATGCAGGAAAAGTGAGGAATTTCCCATGGGGGATAGAAATGGAAATTCAAGAAGGGGAGGGGTAGAGGAAGGAATTTTGGAAATGTTGTCGGGGTTGGATGGGGAAGAAGAAATGTACAAGGCGGAGAAGGTTTGGTTAGATCTCTACGAGGTTGGCAAGTTGGGTTTTGGGAGGGTATCGTCAAGCGTTGAATTTGAATCTTAGATTAATTAAGGGGTAAATTAGGAAAAAAATTATTAGTTTTAATGCTGTAAATTCTCAATTTTCTTTCCACTTTTGGGAAGTTAATTAACCGTCAAAAATCAAGTTTTTCATTTTAGATGATGCATATGGAAAGAGGAAAATAGGTTAATTGCATTTTTGTACCCAAAAAAAAATATTTTCATTTTTAGATACTCTGTTTGTTAAATATAGTAAAATCTTTCGGGTCGAAATATAATAAAAAATAAATGTAACTTAAATATAAAGAAAATTATTTTATTTATTATCAATTAATTTTAAATTAAATATAAATTTTACATTAAAAATTACATATACAATTTTTACATAATATCAAAATTTAAATTTTGTTAGTTATTGTTAACCTACTTAATAAACCTCAAAGTTCAAAAGACACGGATGTTCATACACACGAGTATGAATGGAATAAGGAAAATGTTCATTTAATTTTGTTTTTAAAGGATTCTATAGAGAAAGAGTCTTTTGAGGCAAATAATTTCTGACATTTTTATTATATGATTAATGGTAAATAAAATTCCAAATATGTAAAAAAAAATATCAAATATTTTCCCGTCTTAAATAAAATCCAACTCTTGCAAGCTGTAGGAATTCATTTCATCCACCCCGTTAACATCTGTTAACCTTCATAAACTCTTTCTAACCATTCTCAGTTTTCTCACCATAGGAAACCAACAACAAAATACTCTCTTTGTTATAAAATTAGTTTTTACAATATATAAATGATAATTGAAAATTCTTTTACAAATAATTTTTATTAAATAATTTTAATTGATAAAAATTTTAATTATCATTTATATAAATATATAAAAACATCAACAAAATTATGTACAAAAGGTTAAAGACATATTTTGAAACAGAGAGAAAAAATGCAAATAACGACACAAATTTTATCTTTTTTTAAAAAAATTTAAAAATACAAAATTTTTTAAGTTTTTAAATTATATTATAAACTTTTTTTTAAAAATAAAAATAAAAATTTTACATTTTTTTATAATAAGAATATAAAGTTTACTTATTCCTATTTAAAAATGACAATGATAACATAACAAATGACAAATTTCATAATTAAAAAAAAAAATTTATAACCTTAAATAAAAAATAAAAGTTTATTATTTGATTTATAAATTTAAGAATTTTAAATTTTTAAATATAAAAAATAATAAAATTTACACCTTTATATGGATTATTTCTCTTTGAAACGGTGAGTGGTAAACAAAATCTAATTAATAAATTATTTTTCACTTTTTTTTTTTTTTCTATCAGGTGATTTTCATATAAATGTAGCTGAACATGATACACTTCTATGACACTGACGAATATGAATGCTACTCGTATTGCACGTTCATTTTTTTAAAAAAAATTTTTTGATCTATCTGAAATATTACCGAGTTGCAAGCCCAAAAATATTTCCCAATGGGCCAACGGTGGATTGGGCTCAATTTTAACGAGCCAGATACAGGCCTATTTTTCGAGTGTTAGCTAAATCCGCATAAAACCGATCTTCAGCAATGGTGTTTTGGAAAGGATGGGTATATTATTTTTTAATATAATTTTTAAATATTATTTAATAAGTAAATATATTTAATATTAAAAATTTACTTAAAATATTATTTAAATAAATAACACGTTAAATTATTTAAAAAAATTAAAAAAATCTCAAAATCATTTTACTTTTGCAAATAAAATGTCGATACAATCAGGACTTAAAAAACGACACGACAGCGTACCGTGTACGAGCCGCCAAATTTCCGGCGAAGCATGACGCACTTCTTTTTTAAACTGCCGGTTCGCAGTAACTGCCGAAGCGCACGATGTTAATTTCCCCTAGTTATTCATAATTCTGGAGTACTTTTTTAATATTATTTTTAATATAATTTTATGTATTATTTAAATAATTAATTTTTTTATTTATTTAAAATTTATGATAATAAATTTATTTATTTATTTAATA